TATGTCTCTTGGTGTCTTCTTCAAGTACCACGACTTCTTCGACTTCTGTGGCCTGTGTCTTGGTGGCCTGTGTCTTGGTGGCCTGTGTCTTGGTGGCCTGTGTTCTCCTACAGGGTGGACCGGACGCACATGTGATGGCAGACTTCCGCCTCAGGCTTTTCTTCGATTACGTTCCCCATGGACTCTACGATGCTCCTGCTGATCTTGAATACATGTTATCTGTGGGTGGCTGCCCTTGCGCTTGTGCTGCCGCCAGCTTTCGCACATTGTTTGCGAATGTGCTCCAGAGTATGCTGCCGGCGACCACACTGGATGCCGGGGTCGCTGAATCGCACCTCTGAGAGGCCACTGAGTCAGAGCGAATCTAGAAATTCCAAACACAAGCTGCGGCTGCGGCGCGACTTTCACGCGCGTATAGGAAATTTAAAGACTGATTTTGTCTGGTGATTGACAACAGATTCGATCCAACGACCTTCTTGATTCCCAGGAAAAGACGCAGCCACAGAGATTCCCTTTTTTTGTCGCTCAGCACAGCCGGCAACACTGTTCTCATCGAACGGAAGTCTCCGGACCAGGACATGCACTCAGTGTGACGGATTGTCCTTTGGGTTCCACGTCACCTTTGGGCTCCTCAAGTCTCCTGCAGGGGAGCGCAGGACGACCAGCCCCAGAAGCAATGCGTATTTGACAAAAAGAACCAGCCCAAACTTTTACACAGAATTACATTTTCCTGCAACTGTTTCAACAGAATAGCATGATTCCTGCAACCGTTTCAACAGATTACGATGAGTCCTGCAAATAATTGGAACAAACACCAAAACATCACACCCTGAAAACGTTATCCAAATAGTCATTGCACACGGGGCCATACAGATCCCTCTTTCTGGGCACTCGGTCCATGGCAAACGCTCGAAGCCGCGGCTTGAGGCTTTCACCTGTGTGCAGTTGCTGTGGTAAACGAGGGCACAGAGTGGAGACCTGCAAGCTGCCAGGTGCCAAGGTCATTCAGGCTTTGCGCAAGAAGTGCTCCGAACAAGCGAACGCTGCTAGCAGTTCCGTGAAGAAGAAAGATGACAGAAGCCATTCTCACAAGGATGGTCAGCACAGAAAAGTAGCAGCCAAAAGCTACGGATCCAACAAGGAGAGAAAGCAGAATGTGAGAAGAGTCCTCGGAAGCGTCATTTCTCCTTTGACGTTGACAAAGACAGAAGCTTGCTCGTGGCTGTTGAAACAGGGGTTCGTTTCCAGCAGCTCGGTTTGCCGACACTGCGGCCAGAAGTCGTTGAAGGGCCCTTACTGTCTTTCTCGTAAAGACCGCAGGGATCACTTCTATTGGAGGTGTGCGAGGAATGCGTGCAACAAGCGAGACGCATTTTTGCAGAAGTCTTATTTTGCAGGCCTACAGTGTGAGCCAGATACGTTGGTCCAGATGTTGGTGCGCTACGCAAACATGTCCCATACCAAAGCTGTGGTGGCCACAGACCTGGTGCATGCACACGGCGTGTCTTACAACTCGGCGGACAACTTCTTGCGTGTTCTGTCGGAGCGTGAAGCTGCAGCAGGCAAGAAGGCAATGTCGTTGATCCGGCTTCGCCAGGAGATCGAGTGTGATGCCACATCACTCGGCCGCTTCTTTGTGAAGCCTGACAACATCTTCTACGCGGACCAGATCCAAGATTTGCAGCAGAAGAAACGGGCCTGTTTGAAGTCTTACCCAGTCCATGTGCGTGTCGTCGGCGCCATCCAGCGGGGTGGCTTGATGGTGGTGAAGTTCATGACGCCGAAGGTTACTCTTCCCAAGGCTCGGCCGCCTGTCGAATCGATTCGGGAGATTGACAGGTCAGGCCTTGCAAAGTACATTGGAGCAGACAAGAACACAGCAATCTACTCAGATGGTGCTCCGAGCTGGCGAACCTTTGCCAAGAAGCTGAAGATCCCTGTGGCTCAGGTGTCACACCAGCAACGACAATACGCAGTGCAGCTTCGACGTGCTCCTCGGCCCAAGCTGAGTAAAGTCGGAGGCACGCAGTGCATCGATGCTGCTTGGGGAAGCCTGAAGCGCTTCATGCCGAAGCAGGTAAAAAGAAAAGGAAAAATGAAAGGCGTCAGTTGCATGAATGCAACGTTGGAACGCCGTGTGTACCAATGGCTCTGGCGCAAAAACCTCAGAGCTGATGGAGATGTCACGGGACAAGAGTTCCTGGTGCACTTGTCAAAGGCTTGCCGCTGGAAGTGAAAAGCAGCGTATGGCGGTTTTCAGGTACTTGAAAGAACAAAAACTAATGTCCAAATTGACGACCCCATTTTTTCTCAATTTTCTTGAAATGGTCCTCCTCAGGGGGTTTCAGGAGAGATGTAACACGCCACCCACAGGCGCCAGAAGGCGTCGTCACCTAGTTGGTAGTTTAGCTCAGTTGTTACGTTGTTTCTTCTTGCTGTCGTTGATAGATGTTGGTTTGATTTCACACATCCCACAAACAAGTCCGACTTCATCGTCACCAATCCATGCAACAAATCTCTCGCTACTAATTATAAAAGTAACTATATAGTGCATTACTACTAGTAACAAGAAGCTGCTAGTAGCTATTTGCTACTACTAGTAATGCCATGTAATGCCCTTTGATACTAGTAGCAATGCACTTGTTCACAATGGGACACATCTCCGAGGCGCAGTGGCTTGGACCGAAGCACAGCTGTGCGCCCAGCCCGTCGGTGGACGGCGTGAAGGTGCAATTGCTGGCACACTTGTCGGAGAAAGAAGTCGGAAAAAAATATGCCTGCGTTGTAATGACATACACTTGCTGACAAATGGAAGAACCAACGTTAACTGATATACTATTAATATTGTATTTTAGCTGGTGGGCTGACTTCCATGCAAGATGGAAGAACTGAAGAACCAACTGATTTATATAAGTTGGTGAAATTCCTCTGCCTCATGGGCGTTTTGGCAAAGTTATTTCTCCATTTTGGTCGGCAAAGTGATTCGACAAGAACCTCGGTTTGTTGATGCGCATCATCTTCATGATGAATCATGATCTGTCTGAGCTGAGCACTTGTCCTTGCTGCTTAGCACTACCGTGCTGGTCTGGTAGGGTCCCAAAAGTATTTCGTCGTGATCTGCAAGGGGTTTTGCAAAGGGGCTCGGCTCAACCAAAGACCGAACTGGTGAACATCTTGATACAGCTTGCCGACCCTCCACGCGAAGCGTGGATGGTATCCGTCAAAGGTTGTGAAACTCTGCTGAAAAGGTAAACAATTGACACGTTGTAACCCCAAAAATGCAAAGAAAAAGAAAGATCCTGTTGAGAAAAGATGTATGTTCATGTTGATGTTCACTGTAATTTCTTCACTCTTTGCGACTTCATCTACTATCTGCTTTCTATCTACTGTCTGTCTACTTTAATCGATGTGGAAGTGCCTCGGAATGGCACCGGAGGCCTGGAAGTTCGAGCCCAGTTGTGGAGCGGAGCGGTTCAGCGACACTTGTTGAGGTCCCTTGGTTTCCAAAGAAAGTCCGGTGATGTTCCAAACCTGAAGATCTGCGCAGTCTTCTCTGACCCCTCTTGATTTTGGAGAATAGCACAGGTGAATCAGGAGCAGAAATGGAGTCTAAGTGGTTCCCAAAACAAACTTGAACATGAAAGCTTTTACGGCTCGCGAACTCCCCATGATATGTTCCGGAGGACAGACGAAGTGAACATCTCTCGTCTCTCACCTCAAGATACCTCAGTGCATCATAGTGCAAAAAAGAGTTCATAGGCAACAAAATCTCTTTCATAGACGAAAAGATCAGGATTAGAACCGCCCAACAATTCATCAACTCCCAACCTAAGGGATGGGACGAGACTTGTCGTCGATATCCCATAGAGCTGAGTGGGAACCCAAGAGAGCATGGTCGTGTTTCCTGGGCATAGAACAAGATCTTCCCAAAGCAAGGCATCGCTGCTTAGTAGCAAGGGTATCGCTACTAGTAGCAAGGGCGCTACTAGTTGGTTTTTGGATGAAAACACTTTGCCTCTGTGGCCGGTCCGCGGGCGAACCTGCCTTGATGACAGCCATGCACTGCCTGGCTGCTGATTGGCTGCTTGCGCGGGTTCGGCAGTGTTGGATTTGTCTGGGTTTCCCCCACTTCTCGCCGCAATCGAACAGATCCGACCATTTCTCGATATTTCTCGTGTGATCTCGTTTCGCTTCTCGTCCCACCGGGATTGGTAGTGATTGGTATGTAGTTACCACAGAAGCTGTTCTCATTGGCACCAACAAAACCCTGGGAAAATACCAAATAAAACATATAATATTATATATATACTAATATATATATATATATACAGAAGGGGTGGCCATGGGGCCTGGGTTTTTGGTTTTCTGTATTTGTAGACAACTTTTCACAAATACAATCAAAACATATCAAAACTGCAAAAAACAAATACAATCAAAACCACAAAAACACTGAATACCTTGCAGTAAAACAAAAACACTTAGAAAAAACAAAAGCAAAAGACATTGAGAAAACCAATAACAACCTAGGAAAAACCAAAAAAACATATAAAAAACTTGGGAAAACAAAAACCCAGGAGAGCAGGAATAGAGAGCAGGAATAGATTATATATGTGTTTATATGGAGAGGGGCTGCCACTGAAGCATTTACCTAAATGTTGGGAAAACCAAAACCCAGGCCCCATGACCACCCGCTCTCTCTATAGATATATATATATACTAATCATCTTAAATTGAAGTCTTTGTTTTATGCCTTCTCTCCGCACACCCTCGGCCGGAGCCTCGAGGCCTCCCAAATTCGGCCCTCCCTTCTTCACGCGACTCCGCGCGATCTCCGAGTGATCTCTGGTGGATCTCAGCAGTCTTCTGCCAGCAGAACATCCGTGGCCAGCGTGAGCCGCCCCACTGTGGCGATCCTCGGATCGGCACGACGGATCGGCACGATTCGGATGGAAGTGAAAGGACGCCGAGTGATTTCACGTCTTCTTTCTATAATTAAGTATTTGTAATATTTTGTAAGTACGTTCTTAAGAAGTCCCTTTTCGAACAATCCAACCTGACAAATTTTAAAAACAATCAGATCCGTAGTGCCCATGGCCCGAGAAAGGTAAGTCCTGTTGGTTGCATCGGAAACCCACATGTGTAGCATCGTGTAGCTACTAGTAGCTCCTGGTATTACTACTAGTATCTACTAGTAACAATGTAACAAGCAGCTACTAGGAACAAAGGGCATCGCTATTAGCAGCAAGAAGCTACTAGTCTGGTCTTCCTGGACGTCAAAAACCAGTGCACATCACCCGAGAGCGGCGCCGAAGCTTCGTGTGATCGGCTGATCTCCCGGATCCAAGAAGTCACTGCCCGGGGGGGTAGGCCGCGAACGTAGAGGTAGTAGCTAGGTAGGTAGCTAGTAGTAGCGAACGGTAGCTAGTACCTAAAAGTAGCTACTAGTATGGACGCAGGATAGCTTGCGCCAATGATTTGCTTCCTAGATGTTTAAGGAAACTTAAGGTGTCCCAATGGTTCTTGAGATCAAAGACAGATCCCAAGAAGAAACCGTCCCGGACGGTCCCTTCGATCTGAGCTTGATGCGTTGCTTGTCATGGCATGTTTGGTTCGCTTGATGGGAGTAGTCGGGTACTCAACGTTTGAGTCACATAAACCATCATAAACCCGAAACTTCCACTCTTGCTCCCACTATATACTCATTGACACAAGGCTACACCCACGGTCTGAGTCTGAGGACAGGAAGCCTGAGTGCAAGACGTTTTCAAAAGGTATCCAAATGTATTTTGCAAATTTTTAAAAGGTTGAGCCCCAGAATAGCTGCAGCATACAATCAAGAACTAAATCTCTGGATATATATATATATACATTCAATGAAACGAATCAGGACGCTGACCAGTTCATTTCTTGGTGACCTCAAACGTTAAACAATCAAACAGGATCCCCCAAAATAGATTTACCATGCTATAATATTAAAGATTATCTGCAACAGCAAGCTTTTTCCGGACTGAACACCTTCCACCGGATGAGACGTCCCACAAAGCTCCGAGAGAGGAAGATATGTTCTGTCCAAGTCTCAGGGTTGATGTGGACAACGCAATGGTGGAACTTCCCACCTTCAACGCTTTGAGAGGAACGCCCTCTTTCAGGTAGGAGTTAATCTGACCGAGCAAAGGCCCATTTAAGAGCCTCGGTGGAAGGCGCGACCGGTTTGCGGGCCTCGGTTTCCGGGGTTGGACTGGGTAGGCCGCCGCCCGGTCGCTCACGCAAAGCGAGGTACACGATGGTCCCATGGTATTGAGATGAAGTGAAATCAAGACCACCTGGACACCGGAGATTCACGAACGAAGGAAAAGGATGGGCAATGTAGATGCTTAATTGGTGGCCTAGTTGTTCTGAGCCCTAGCGGGAAGTTTCGCTGGGCGTAGCCGTAGCCGCCCATACTTCGCGATGCCCGCATGATCTCTCTATGTGGGTTCGTTGCAGTACATCAGTTCCGTAGCATTGTCCTGAAAAGAACTCGATGTTACCTCACCATACCTCACCTAGAAAGTTCATAGACTAAGCGAAACCAAACGACTAAGAAGGAGCTCTGGAGCTCTTGAGGTCCAACCCCAGACTTAAAGCAACTGGCCCCGAGATGTGACCCAAAGACTTTGCTCTTCGTGCGTTCCATGTTCCGTGGAACCTGGGTTCCTGAAAACACCATATACAGCAAACAAAGCACATCAAAGCACTATCACTAGGTAGCGTATGGTACCAAACACAGGTTTCTTGGAGGGGAAAGGAACTGCACCCACAGAAGACACAGTCAAGGGGAGATCCAAACGATATATCTCGCCATACAGTCTCAGCCGTGGTTTCCCTATTCTTCTCTACACCCCCATATAGGCAAAAGTATTTGCCCCCCCCAACCCAACCGAAAAGCGCTGATTCTTTATGGCAGGTTTCGCAGGTCTGCGGTGCTTCAATGCGCAGACAACGCACGCCGACGTGCACCAGATCCATGTGCTCTGCAGGCTACCATCTACAAAGCATCCTGGAGTAGATATAATATGAAGGCAATCCCGTTGGATTCTCCGTTTCCTTTGCTGCTTTGATGCTCTAAATATATTCTATCTATCTATACTTACTTGCCTCACCCAGGTTGACCAATTGTCGAACATGTGGAGAGTCCAGGTGTCCCTTTGGACCATCCATCTCTTGGGACCCCGAGTCCAGGCCACCTGGTCCTTTCGAATCTGCGGATGGTGACTGTCCAACGGTTAACACGGTCCATCATAAAGAAGGATATGATTCCAACAACCATCTGTTTGGGATTCGGATTTCATGGTGCCCTCTGCTCATCCTTTTGGGCTACTTACGTAATTACTTCGCTTCGCGATGTTTTTTCGGGCAGTGTAACGTATAGCTGTTGTGGGCATGGAACGGCATAGCTGTTAAACCCTCGCATTTCTCCGAGTGTGCAAGTGAAGTCCCCGGTCTTTTAGGGGCAAGCCACACCCCCACGATGTCGTCGCTCCGCTCCGGTGGCGATCGCCGATCCGGGCGGGTCTGTTAAGCCCGGATAGCGTGGGAATTGGTTGGCCAATGTTGGCCTTGTTCGGGTCCTCCATTCGAAGCTGGGTCAACAAATGGTTGGCCTTCAAAAAGGCTCCATGGATGTCCTTCAAAAAGACTCACAAAACTGACACCGACACCCGCCGCCCATCTGTTGCAGGTTCGCATCGGCAAGAAGATATTGATGGACAGTGCTGTGGCGACCCACGAGTCGTCCTTCCCGGTGGCGTGACTGGCCCGAAGTGGGTCCATCGAGTCAGATACCAGGAGAGATTAAGCGACCTTCTAGGAGCCTGATTACTGGGGTACCTATGGGATATACTGTAGATTCTTCAACCTTTGTTGGTACTGGATGGAAAAGGAAACAGGTGCAGTGAATCAGCCATCGCAAGGCTTCAATCTCAGGTGCACAAGGGGCACCATGTGTGGAAATTGACCCCTTCGAAGGAACTTGGGAGTGGCACTTGGACCCCAAAGACCCTTCCATTCAGGGCTCATGTTCCGCTTTCATACCACTGCTTGCAGGACCTAGAAACCTTGGTAGTTCAGTTATGCTCAGTTCCCTTCAGCTGGTGAGCCTGCTTGGCTGTGAAGTCTTTGTGCTGGCCAGGATCTCCAAACAGGACATCACAGGACAGATGGTCCAGGTTTACCTACAATATATCACTTTCAGAGGTGGCACTCAATGGCTCGCCCGCTGCTCACCTGGGTCTTGGTCACATCGATCCAGCTGGCACTTAAGGAGTCCAACTTCGCCAAGAGCATCCTGAACACGCCAAATCGATGGGGTGGGGTTAGGACCATTTGCTTATTGGTTGTTCCCTGGGGGGTAAAAGGCCATCCATGTGGCACATGACCCGACGGCCGGCGGCGAATTCCATGTATTTATAGACTGTAATTATTAATATTAATTAAGGTAGACTCTTGATTAATTCAGACTTCCCATAT